TAAAAGAAGGAATCTGGAAACTTCTGCTTGGCAATGAGAGGTTGCAGAAGAGCCCCGTTCGAAGGTTCAAAAAGAAACTCGAGCGTTTGAACAAGCTTGGCTGCCTCATGCCGGTTGTCCCTGTTCTTTGGTTTTGCTTTAGCAGGGTGGGCGGGTCGGATACCGAACTCATAAGTACCCAAAGCCACCAAAGTTTCATTACCCCCCACCAATTCTCCGAAGAGGAAACTCAGCACAGTATATCAAATGTCTGTTAATACAAACGTTTCACTAGTCATTTTCGGTTTTTCGCCGCTTTTTGTCCATGAGATGACAAAAATATAACTTTTTTGGCGCATCAAAAACGACCGAGATGGCTTTGTTTCATGTCTGGCATTTCAAGCCCTTTGACCGCCTTGCGCTGAAACTCGCAGGAGCTGTTCACTGTTCGACGTTCTTCAAATTGCCAAGTTTCGTTGTCGTACATCAAATATCACGTGACTTATTGGCCCGGGAAAACCCCATCTCAGACGTTTGCACCCCGTTTTTGACCCTTCGGGAGAAGTCCCCCCGGTTTTCAACCCCCGGTCTCCAGATTTCGTACTCCAGCTAGCTTTTGGTCTCAAATGGCCACATTCCAAATTTGGCGTGAAACCGTTAAACCCCGGGGGGCTACCCTCGAAAATGTGTTTTTCCCCTGTTTCGCTCTTTTTTCGAGATGCCTTTGTTTCACTTCTATATCTTTCTTCTCTTGTACTCTTTTGGGGTCAAACTTGGCAGGCTGCTTGTTTGGTCGATGGTCTACATGTGTGCTAAGGGAAATGGTCAGACAATGAAAGTCACGTGACTTATCAGTCTCCGAAAACCTCATCTCAGATCACGTATTTTTTCCCCCGGTTTTCAACCCCCCGGTCTGCAAATTGCGTACTCCAGCTAGCTTTTGGTCCGAACTGGTCACATATTAAATTTGGCGTAAAACCGTTAAAACCGGGCGGAGCTAGGGTCGATAAAGTCTTTTGCCCTAGTTGCGCATGCGCACTGCCGAATCCCTTCTTTTAGGTCTGTTGGGGCGCCAGGGCAGTTTTGCCATCTTAGTATTGCTCCTACGACAATATTACAGGAAGAGGGACGTTTTGTGGGCTAACTGGACCTATATGTGGGTCTTAGCAACGTTCAGGATGGGTGAGAGCCCCCTTAAATTGACTTGTATCAATGCCTGTACCCCCGGATTTCACTCGACGGAGTTGAAATTGCAAAAACAGGGACTGAGTGTCATGCTGATACTTGTTGCCAGATTTGGAAAAGCTGGGTTGAAACGGTTCCAAGTTACAGGCAGTTTAGTCTTTGGGCATGCGTAATGGCCAATTCCTTGTTTACGCGTTTTCTTGCGTTGACTGCACTTCTGCCATGTTGCACTCTCTGTTTCTACGATATCCACACCACAGAGACGCATTCGGGGCTAACTGGTGCTATTTGGGGGTGTTAGCAACGTTTACCTTGGTTGAGAGTCCCCTTAAATTGTCTTGGTTCATTGCCCGTACCCCCGGATTTCACTCGACGGACTTGAAATTTCAGAAACGGGGGGTGACTACTATGTCGATACTTGTTGCAAACCTCAGCAAGCTTGGGTCAAACGTTTCCAAGTTATTGGCACGTTCTTCATCGCGCATGCATAGTAGTTACTGTCTTATTCTACGTTATTGATGCGGCACTGCAATTGGTGGCAGTTACTGGAACTTACCACGCCATTTTCTAAGTCCATGTACCATTTCAGCGTTTGGATCGACCATAGCAACAGCCACCTTAGTGATCCTGCACCCTAAAAAGGCAATTACTTCAGGCATGCGGAAACGCAAAAAACGAGCTTTCACCATGTTGCCCACCTTGTCAACATGTCAACCACAAAGTTTGGCCACTCCATCTTGAGAACTGGTGGAGTTATTCAAGGAAACGTTTCCCATACAAATCTTTGTAAATTTCGATGCGACTGTTGTTTCTTTGTTGTTTACTGTTAATAACTTGTTGTTGTTTACACATATCGACCAACAAAGTATATAGTCAGGAAGAAGACATCGAGGACAACATGTTCCTACCTTTTTTTCATGAAAAGGACCAACCTTGTGGACTCCAGGGCCGTTTATTCCCAGAAAAGAAACACAATCCGCGTACCGTCGAGGAAACAGGTTGTTTTTTTCACTTGCTTTTTTTTCATTGGTGCGTTTCGATCCGCATACTAATGAGCCGCTAGCATAAAAAGGGTGGTTTTTCGTCTCTCGGCACGAGAAAATCCCACTTCCTTGGCGAAGCCCTGCTCCGTTGGATAGCGATTTTTTTTGGCAGCTGCAGTTCTCGTAGTTTAACTGTTCTTTTCAGAACAACTCTCCGTTTTACAGTCAAGTTCTGCTGCTGTCTTCAACTGGTCGTCGTTAACTGTTCTTTTCAGAACAATTCTGTAGTTCTCGTGGTATAAACTGTTCTTTTAAGAACAACTCTTCGTTTCGTCGTCAACCGCTGTTGGTGTTCTCAAGTCCTAGTCGTTATCCTGTTGGAAAACTGTTCTTTTTAGAACAATTCTACTTCCTGTTGTGAAGTCGTGGTGTGGTTCGTTCTGCTACCTTGACGTATCCTGGTTTACATCTGTTCTTGTCGGAACAATTCTCCTGTTGTTGTTTTGGATTGCTCCTGTTTTTCATCGTTATTTCAAGGTCAGTATTTCCTATTTGTTTCTGAAATTCATTCTATCGCTTCGGCTTTTGTTTTTCCCAAGATACATTGTTTCGATTTTAGGTTTACCCCCCGAAAGAGACAAAAAAAATTCGGTACGTTTTCATGTCGCCACTCTGAGTAGCGCCCACAGGAAAAGTGGCCCGAAGCTCAAACTTGGACCAGATGTTCTCCATTCCATTGTGATTGAAGTTATGAGGTTGGCATGTCAAGGAATTTGAACACGAGGTGCACAAGGAGAACTTCGTCCGCACAAACATCGCGTACGTTTCTTCTCTGCATGATGTGCTGTATCTGTGGCGCATCCGAGTTGTCACTGGAGACGTGTCTGACCTATCCGCCTTCTCTATTGATTGTCTGTATCCCCTGTCTAGCCATCAGTGTTCCATTCTTGCAGACATGACTGGTGCACTAATATCCCGTCGAGACCAGCAAGAGAATGGCACTCATCATCAGGACGAGCAGAGTAGCAGCTGGCGTATGTACAGGGTCCTTCTTGGTAAACCAGGTACCGGCAAATCGCAGGTGCTAATAAGAGCCATCCATCACGCCGTCGAAAATGAAATGTCTGTTCTTGTCGCTGCCCCGGTGGCCCTGCTGGCTCAGGGCTATCACAAAATCTTTCTGGCCGACATCGAGACCGATACTTTGCACGGTGCGTTTAATATCCCCGTGGACGCCCCTTTTGATGACGAAGTCAACTACGGCCTTAACAAATACGAGCTGGTGGTTGTGGATGAAGCCAGTATGATCTCGGCTCCCACGTTCCATGCCATGGCCACCACGTTCAACAGGCTAAACCTGCGCCCCGTCGTAGTCTTTGCTGGGGACAAGCATCAGCAACAGCCTCTCCAGACTGAAGGTGGCCGTGTGACGGCAACGCCTTCGATCATTAATGACAGGTACACCTTTCATTCCGGCAACGCCATAAAACACTTCCTATACCAGCAGTTCCGCGTAGTGGACGAGCAGTACGGCAGGTTCCTCGACCTCATCCGCTACACTCAGCCAACCCAGCAGCAATTGGACAGCGTCCAGGAGAACATGATCCTCTGTCCCGAGGGTGACCTGTCCGACAACGACATCTGGCAGGCCTTCATGTCCAAAGATGCCTCCACCGTGATGACCGTGTCAAAAAGAGGTGCGCAGCGCATCAATAACATCGTCGCGGCGCATCTCTTCGCAGATCAACGTCCTCTGTCGAGAATACCGTGTACATCTGTGGCCGAGAGCAGCCCCATCTACCCGCTCAAAGACATGAAGGTCTTGTTCACCGAAAATCGCGACAAGGCCGCCCGCATCATCAATGGGCAGGAAGCGACCATCAATTCCACTCAGAACAACACGATCGTTCTCCGCCTGCCCGAGGGACAGAGGGTCTTTGTCTACCCGGTGACCCATATTGAAGATGAGAGGCCAGTGACGTACTACCCATTCATGCCGGCCTACGCCCAAACAATCACAAAATCTCAAGGGCAGAACATCAAGCATCTCATCGTCTGGCTGGACAGTGACCTCGTTCCTGCTCGAACAGCATACGTGGGCTTATCCAGAGTTCGAAAACGCGCTAACATATCCTTTCTACAACCCATGTATTCACACCAGGTCACTCCAGTCAGGGTTTAGACCACCATTATCTCCATCTTACATTCTCTTGTCTGCCCTTGAGATTGCCATATTCTTCTCATTTCTCTTTATTTTCTTCTCTTATTCAACAATTGTCTCTACTTCTATACTTTTCTTCTCTTGTTTGAACACTTCTCTCTACTTCTGGTATCCACCTTTCTCATGTTCATCTCCTGTTCTACTCATATTCAGTCCATGCTCGCAATCATAGCCTTCTATGACACGCACAGACATTGTAGTTCTTTCCAAGGACAGCTCTTGTGTCGGATAACGCGAGCTGAGGTAACAAACCCTTGGGGAGTGCCGTAAGAGAGCTGTTTTTGGAACCTGTCGCTAATGTGCATGTCGATTACCCTTTCTAGCGAGCCTTCCTTTTCGACTCTCGTAAAGTGCTACCTCGTCGTGGTGAGAGTCCCTAGTAAGCAGTGCCTCTGGCCTCTTACCGCCACTACTGCTGAAGCTAAAAGCACTTAACCCACTTCAACTCATAGACACTTGCCATGACTATAGCACATCACTCCACGACAAAAGTCCTACTGACCAACCCGTCAAACACGCGCAAACACTGACTCCACACTTGTTAACGCATGCTTGTTCATTTTCTTGCAGATATGGCACAGCAGTCCCACGTCAAGAAGCCCAACTACAACCGGCATTTCCGTCGGAGTTTCATGCTAAACTATGGCGCCGCCCTACAGGACCTGTCGGACGAGAAAATCTTGTCGCGACTAAAAGATTTCAATTGCGAGTGGCTCTCCAGGCCCAATATTGCCATTTCCGAGATGGCACAAACCATCAAGGACAACTGGCCCCTGATAGAAAAACAGAGCGGCACAGTATTCACCCGTAAGTTTGTACAGGATCTTGGCGCTGTGGTGCTCCCCCTCATGGACACCTACGCGCGTCTTGACAACAAGGACAATAGTACGCACGATCCGCTGACTCATGATGGCGCCCTAGAAGTCGTGAACGTTAATCCTGATGTCGAACAGCTCATGGTGACTGCCTTCAATGCGGCGGGACCTGTGTTGATGACCAGCATTCAGATGCTGGCCGTCAATGCACTCCTCCACAACGTAAACAACTTCGCGCAGGAGGCAGTCAGGAGTCCAGCCATGGAGGACTTTAAGGCAAATCCGACTAAAGATAGTATGATGAACTATCTCTTTAACCCCATCCTGATGAAACGCAGAACATCATTGTATGACCGCAGCCGCCTCGCAGACAGGGACGCTCTCCCACAGCCAACCAGCCTGTCCAAACTCCCACACGCGACAGGCAGGATCATTGCCCGGCCCCGAAGAGGACGAGCCTGAAGCCACCACCAGACCAAGCCGCCCTAGACTTGGTCAGCGTCCGCCTTCCGCTACGCAGTCTTGGCGGGAAGGTGGCTAACGCCGAACCCTCGCCGTCCAGGAGCAGGAGGAAGTGGACGATGATGAGGATGACGAGCCCGCCCCAACTTTATATCGCAAAAGAACTTTGACGCCCAGATCGTCCTTTACCAGCAGGGGCTCGCGGTGGCGACGATCGACCTTGAGCAGCCTGGATTCTGCAATTGACGTTGACGACCACCAGCAGACGGAGGACGAGGTAGAAGACGTGGTGAGACCTCCAAGGAAGAGAGCAAAACGGGGGCTGACTGCCACAGTAACTACAGTGGAGCCAGTGGCCCCACCGGCTGCAGAGGAAAACGTGACCGGCAAAGGCCAGAAGAAGAATCATAAGAAACGCCACTGCCAGGAACAAGTCGAAGAGGAGGCAGAAGAAGTGGTGCAGGCGAGCCCAGCGAAAAAACAAACAAAAACAAAAAAACAAAGAGAAAGAGAAGTACACGGGGGCCCTGCTCGCCGATTTGGCAAAAGACCAGGACAGACTGTATAACAAGTTGAACAAGACCAAAGTGGCACATTCTTGAACATTTGTTGAACATTAAGTTTCCTGAACATTTCATGAACATTTCTAGAAGTTAAACATTTTTGAATGATTTTGCACGACTATCAGATAGGGAAAAACCCGTTCGACATTTCAGTTGGGCACTTGGCCTCGCTTGCTGTACTAGGGCAGTCCCAATAAAAGTTACGCGTGTTTGACAAAAATGGCAGTGTGGCCTCTATTCTTCCCAAAGTTGGTTTTCACTTGTCCGCGGGGTTGGTTACTTCCTGCCAAAAGCGAATGATCGCCCTCCGTTGGGTCATCCCCGAAAGGGTGTGTTGGGTCCTGTGCCATTGCTTGATGACCAGTCCAAGGGGTGCCCGATCCCCGTAAGGGCAAGAAACGGTTTTAAAAGACCCTAAAACAGGGTGGACAGGGGTGGGTAGGTTCGCAGATAGGCTATAGTCGAACAAGGTGCAGGTCATTACCCCCCATCGTTCCATGCGAGGTCCCTCAGCACAGGATATCGAACCTCCGTAAGTTTCAGCGTTTCACTAAGAGATGCTCTAGAGATTTCGACCTTAAGTCGTCTTAACGTCATATAGTTGTGGTAACTTTTTTGACGCATCGAAAACGACTGAGATGGCTTTGTTTCATGTCTGGCATTTCGAGCCCTTTCAACGCCTTACACTGAAACTCACAGGAGCTGTTCACTGTTCGACGTTCTACAAGTTGGCGAAGTTTCGTGGTCGTACATCAAACATCACGTGACTTATTGGCCCTGCAAAACCGCATCTCAGACGTTTGCACCCTGTTTTGGACCCTTGGGGAGAAGTTCCCCACAATCTCCAGATTTCTTACTCCAGCTAGCTTTTGGTCTCAAATGGCCACATTCCAAATTTGGCGTGAAACCGTTAAAACCCGGGGGGGCTACCCTCAAAAATGTGTTTTTTCCCTGTTTCGCTCTTTTTTCGAGATGCCTTTGTTTCATTTCTATATCTTTGTTGTCTTTTGGTCGTTAGGCTTTAAACTTGGCAGGCTGCTTGTTTGGTCGATGGTCTACAAGTGTGTTAAGTGAAATGGTGAGACGATGAAAGTCACGTGACTTATGAGTCTCCGAAAACCTCATCTCAGATCACGTATTTCCCCCCTGGTTTAACCCCCCGGTCTCCAGATTTCGTACTCCAGCTAGCTTTTGGTCCTAACTGGTCACATACCAAATTTGGGGTGAAACCGTGAAAACCGGGCGGAGCTAGGGTCGAAAACGTCTTTTGCCCTAGTTGCGCATGCGTACTGCCGAATCCCTTGTTTTTAGGTTCTTTGGCGAAAAATGTCTGCGCATGCTCTACTAAAAATGACACGTGATCTATTTCGGGCACTGTCATTGGCTCTGAGGCAAAAATGCCCGGGAAATGTTGTTCAGATGAAAGGAGCGATGGCAGCTTTTTTTGGCAATGACAGCGTTGCAATTTCTTGCCACTGTAAGAGATCAAAAATTATTTTGGTCAAAGTTTTGACGTATGTGTACTCTAGAGAATATAGTGTCCTGAAACTGGCAAAAAATCGCATTGGCATGGTCTGATTCACTTTTATTGAGGTTGAGATCGCTGGTTTGCGTGTAGAAGACATGCCGAAAAGGTGGGTAATTTTTGCTCTTTTTGTTTACTGCATGTTCCGTGCAACTCGGTACAAAAAGAAATTATAAAGCAGTGGAAGAAAAATTATTCGGTTTTGTTTGCACGGAAGCGACAGTTTTGTGAAATGCATATCCCGTTTTTGTGTCAAAACTCGACTTTGATTGTGAATATCTAACATTCGACTGTTGATCGAAGAGCGTATTACAATGCTATCCAAAATGTTTTTGTTGTGTAGATCAAGTTTCTTACCTCGGATTCAACAAAAAAAAGTAGAGGAACAGACATTTTTGGGCTTTGTTTTGTTAATATGACTTAGCGTATACTTTGTTGCTGGAAAAACTATATTTAGATGCTTAATCTCCGCATGTTTACACTGTTTGTGACAGAAAAATACGCTTACGCTTGGTTCAACTTAATCTCGTGTCACTCGGTCCAAAAGGAGATTATAAAGAAGGTAAAGAAATATTCTTAGCGATTGTCTTGCTGTATAAATTGTCTTGTGGCTAGTGGATCGAAAGCGGCCGGGTTGCGGCAGTTTTCTAAAGTGCGTAGTTCGAAACGTGATTTTGTCGATCGATGCAAATTTCATTGTTGTTGCACGTTATTACAGCTTTGTATGTTACCATATAGAAATTTGGGTTTTATGCGAACTCCCGAATGAGAAAATGTGAGAGTGTTTTCATTAAAACACTTAGACCGTCTTGGAGCTACAGTTCGATAGGTCCAGGAACACTCTGATTTGTGAAAAAAAATTCTGTTTACGATGTGCCGCCAGCTGCTGTTCATTTAGGCTTGTAATTTTATAATTGATGGATCGAAGTTTAGATTATTTCGCTCATAAATTTGGCTTGGGATCATCCACACAACGAGTTACTTCGTTAGGAACCGCACTTACGGACATGTTTTCCTCCGTGTACAATTTTTTAGTACTAAATTTTTGCACACAAGGCTTTCTGTGGGGGTGCTTCTTTGCTTGAAAATTGGATCCTGTAAGGAGATGAACAGGGTAATATTCCGGTGAATGCTTTTGTTTTTCTGTCCATCGTTTTCGGCTTAATTTTTTTGAGCACAAAGTTATGAATGAATGATGGAGTTAACATGCTATTAAGTATTCAAAAGTTCTTTCCAAGAAAAAAAATCATCCTCACAAATTAAACTTACAGGGGTTTAAAGTCTGGAGTAAACTTTGAGTCTTAATCTTGATGAATGCAGTTTCCAGTTTTGATCTTCTGTCAGAATTATGTGAGAACACTCAAATACAGATCTCATTCATTACAGATAAATATTATGACATTATAGTTTCATCGTAATTATTGTTTGTTTCTTTTCCTATAAACTTCTCATCAGGTCTACATTTTGCATGAATTTAATGTGATATATAATTGAAGGGGTTGTTGTTTTACAGTGAAGTATTTTTCACTTTGTTTTTTTATATGAAGTTGAGTTTCTTCTTAGTTGTTGGCTAAGGCAGTGTTGAAGTAGTGACATGTTAACATACTTTACTGTTCATTTCTCTTCAGAAAAGATTGATTGATCCTGAATCAAACAAAGTGCAGCTTCACAAACAAGATTTTTGACGAACAAATGTGTACTCAAGCAAAGTATATGTCCCTGACCGTGTCAATAAAATTTATTAATGGAAAGATCTGAGTTTTTACTCCTTTGTAGCACTTTTGACTATGCATCACTTTTCTAACCTATATAGTAAAAAGATAATATAGTATAATCAGTATTTTTTCCAACTAACATCTTTGCAATCAGAGTTCTCTTCTTTTGTATATAGTACTTCCATAATTTTCAAAATTTCATTATCTTATTCAGACCAAGCACAGTAACCATTGAAAAGAAAAAGAAAAAAAAAACCTACTCGGTCATAGACGGCTTGAAAGTTTTAACATTAAAATTGCAATGAAAAGAACATGAATGCAGACACTACAGTTCATTTAGCTCATGTTCAAGCTTTTTGTTATAAATTAGAAAGTCTTACTGGAGAAAACATAATTTTGCTTTATCTTTTCGGTAACAAAAATAAAAAAACTTCCAGGTGTCTAAGCAATTTCAAAGGACCCATAGTGTCTTATTTCTCCGCTGCATAGAGCTGTGAACAAAGGCGGTTCTTTCTAGTGACCCGGCTTTCATCAAAAATATATTGTTGTCCTTCGTGATCGTGAAGAGTCCAAAGTTGAATCGGGTAAACTGGCCAAAACGCGAGCATCGCAGTGAACGGATCCCATAGGAATGGGTGAAAAAGGATAATAAAAAGTCTAGGCTATTCTAAAAATATCCGTATATGCATTTGCAACTCATATTAAGCCGCAATTAATCTTCTTTCCACTGGAATAACCAAACGATGGGGGTATAGTCGCCATTTTGAATTTGGCAATGTCACGTGGTCGCGCGTCGACCAATCAGACATTTTTCGCCGGTGAAGTTTTTAGGTGCCTTGGAGTCCTCATACAGTTCGGGGATTTCACACTTGCTCTTACGACAATATTACCGCAACAGGGACGGTTTGTAAGGTAACTGGTGCTATTTGTCTATCTTAGCAATCTTCACGGCGGGTGAGAGCCTCCTTAAAAAACGTTATATCACTTGCATCATTCTCGCATTTCAACGTAGACACTTCGAAATGTACAAACAGTATGGTAAGACGGTGAGGATAGTTGTTACCGAAAATGACCATGCTGGACTGAAAGGAACGAGAGTTACCACTAGTTTTGTCACTGCGCATGCGCCGTAAAAATAACGTGTTCCTTCCTAGTTGCTGTGGATTACGCTTAACCGAGATGTGGGGACTGTGTCATCAATGTCTGTGGTTGTCTAATCATTTGGCCGTGTTTGTTGGTTCCATAGTTACTTTACCACAATGTCAGGACAACTTCCATGCTATATTAAGGGTCTTGACTGTTCCTTCCTTGTCGCAGTCGTTGCCATTGCAAACATGCGTTACTCTTCATAACGTTGACTGGTTTCAGGGCCTGTAATGCCGGTCGAAACCTAGGGGGGACATAGTTTTTGGAATTGGCCGAGAGCAGAGTTGCTCTTGGCCTGCAATCAAGATTAGCCAAAAAACTTGGGACTCTTTGGTGCCTTCTTTAGACTTCTCTTGTAACACTTTATATCACTTCTACGTGTGTCCAATGTGAGACCATTGACTCCGAAATTTCTTTGTTGTCTTTTATCTGATAACCGTCAAACTTGGTACACTACTTGTTTGGTGGACGGTCTACATGGTGAGAGCATGAAAGTCACGTGATTTCTTGTCTAAAAACGGGATGTCAGGCGACCAATTTCACCTTCGGTTTTCACCCCCCGGTCTGCAGATTTCGCACTCCAGCTAGCTTTGGGTCCCAAGTGGTCACATACCAAATTTGGCGTGAAACCGTTAAAACCGGGCGGAGCTAGGTGGGATTCTGCGGCATACTTGCAAGAGGAGGACGAGGACACCCAGCAGCAGCGGCCCAGCAGATCGCGAAGAACCCTGGCGCATCCAAATCCAAGAAGTGGTGAATCATCTGCCGGACCATCAACATCAAGAAGACGTGTGCCTGTGCCCTCCACCTCAACAGAGAGAGGTTCCACTTCAAGGAGACGTCGAACGTCTCTTGAAGTCAGTGGCATCACTGCGCTACCCCAGACAGACGACGAAGACGACCAACCGCTGGCAAGGCCCAGGCACAAAACAAGATCTCTGCCCACCCCTGTAGAGGACGAAGACAACTGGTCGCAAGACAATCCAACGTCAAACAGGACAGCCAAGAAAAACAAAAGGCCACTCAACATCCGCTCCCTAGCCAAGAACAGGAGACAGGTCCTAAACGCCGAGGACGACGAAGATGAAGAGGCGGAGATTTTCATCACGCAGACGACACCGCCAAAGAAAAAGAACAAGAAGAAACGTCGCCGATCGCCATCACCTCAGCCGCCAGCAGTCACAACGTCCACCAAGACAACGACTGACAACGAGGAAGTACCAGAGCCTGAGGACGCAGAGACCACATCGAAGAAGAAACACAAAAAACATAAGAAGAACAAAGAGAAGCCCCACCAAGCACTTGCAAAGCTGATTTCCGACCAGGACGAGGTCCTCCGCCAGTTGGCCAAGGGAAATCGAAAGTAGTGTGCACCTTTTGACCATTGCGCTTTTCTTGTTAAGCGTATGCAGTATTTTTTCTAGAACTGACACAGCGCCGCTTAGTTTTCTTTCCCATTTGGGCCATTTGGGCCACCACTAATGTCATTGATAAGGCAAAGTGATTAAAACTTGTTTCACATTGAAAAACATGGTGTGGACTCCATTCCTTGTACAGGGCATTTCTCAATCGACTGATCTGCCAAAGGGGAAGGGCCGATACTCAGGAGGATTCAAACACCCATTGGGGGGACCCCTTTCGAAAAGGGTTCCAAACCCCGTAATGGGTTGAGAACAATTGGGGTTTCGGGAAAGAAGGGTGGTCAGGGGTGGGGAGAAACCCTTGTCATCACTATGGTCGAACAACGTGCAGGTTATTACCCCCATCGTTGCATGCCAGGTCCCTCTGCACCGGGAGTCGAGTCTCTGTAAGTTTCTACGTTTCACCAAGAGATCTCAGGTCAAACCCCTTATAAAGCATCTGTGATGTCATATATTACATGGTAACTTTCTTGACACGGAAACGTCGGAGATAGCCTTGTTTCACGTTTGCCATTTTTACGCGTTTTGACGTGGAACGCTGCAACTTGCAGGAACTATATAGCGTTCGATGTTCTACAGGTTAACGCAGTTTGGGTCTGTTAACGCAAAAGCCACGTGACCTACATGGGTTTGAAAACGGCATCTCAGGATGCGAGATTCCACTATTAGGCCCAGGGGAGAAGTCCCCCCGGATTTGACCCCCCTGTTTCCAGATTTCGTACTCCAGCTAGCTTTTGGTCTGAAATGGCCACATTCCGATTTTGCATGAAACCGTTAAAACCGGGGGGGGGCTACCCTCGAAAACGTGTGTTTTCCCCTGTTTCGCTCTTTTTGCGAGGTGCGTTTGTTTCACTTCTATATCTTCGTTGCGTTTTAGTCGATACGCGTGAAAGGCGATAAGGTGATAAGGCTGCCCGAGTGGTGAACGGTCAACAAGCCAAAATAATCTCCTCGCAAAATAACACCATCATTCTCCGTTTGCCTGAGGGACAACAGGTTTTTGTGTTCCCGGTCACACATATTGAGGACGCCACACCCGTCACACGTTACCCTTTCACCCCATCATATGCTCAAACAATCATCAAAGCCCAAGGCCAAAACATTCAGCATCTAATCATCTTGCTGGACTCCGCCTTGGTTCCAGACGGTACTGCTTATGTGGGCCTCTCCAGAGTAAGGAGGAAATCGGCCATCTCTTTGCTGCAACCAATCTATGCAGATCAGCTAACGCCGGTACAGCTCTGAAGAGGCCACCATATTGACAATACCCTCAGAATACTCTGTCTTCTCTTCAACTCTCCTATTCTTTCCTCTTTCACTTCTCCCTAACTCGTCAATCACCATCCTCCTCCCTTTCCTAGTCCAACGGTCTATATCCTTTCTAAGAACAGACAACGACAAGAACACTAGGTACCACAGGTACGCTCTTGTGTCGGAGAACACGAGCTGAGGTAACCAACCCTTGGGGAGTGCGGTAAGAGAGCCACCTGTCAACCTGCCTTAGTGTCTGTTCGACACCACTCATCTATTCATATCTTTCCACTGTCTCGGAGTGCTACCTCCTCGAAGTGACAGTCCCCAAAGTCGTCTCCATCCCAACAGGGGCTATGCCTCAAACGGGGTTCCGTATCGCCCAATCCCTCATAATACTCTCTAGTATCTTCAACTCTCCTCTTCTTTCCTTTTTTTGTTCTTCCAAGCTAGTAAACCACCATCCTCCTCCCTTTGCGTGTCCAATGGTCTATACCCTTTCTAAGAAACAGACAACAACAACACTAAGTAAAGGTTCGCTCTTGTGTCGGAGAACACGAGCTGAGGTAACCAACCCTTGGGGAGTGCCGTAAGAGAGCCACCTGTCAACCTGCCTTAGTGTCTGTTCGACACCACTCATCTATTCATATCTTTCCACTGTCTCGTAGTGCTACCTCCTCGAAGTGACAGTCCCCACTAAGTCGTCTTCATCCCAACAGGGGCTATGCCTCAAACGGGGTTCCATATCGCCCAATCCCTCATAATACTCTCTAGTATCTTCAACTCTCCTCTTCTTTCCTTTTTTTGTTCTTCCAAGCTAGTAAACCACCATCCTCCTCCCTTTGCGTGTCCAATGGTCTATACCCTTTCTAAGAAACAGACAACAACAACACTAAGTAAAGGTTCGCTCTTGTGTCGGAGAACACGAGCTGAGGTAACCAACCCTTGGGGAGTGCCGTAAGAGAGCCACCTGTCAACCTGCCTTAGTGTCTGTTCGACACCACTCATCTATTCATATCTTTCCACTGTCTCGTAGTGCTACCTCCTCGAAGTGACAGTCCCCACTAAGTCGTCTTCATCCCAACAGGGGCTATGCCTCAAACGGGGTTCCATATCGCCCAATCCCTCATAATACTCTCTAGTATCTTCAACTCTCCTCTTCTTTCCTTTTTTTGTTCTTCCAAGCTAGTAAACCACCATCCTCCTCCCTTTGCGTGTCCAATGGTCTATACCCTTTCTAAGAAACAGACAACAACAACACTAGGTACCACAGGTTCGCTCTTGTGTCGGAGAACACGAGCTGAGGTAACCAACCCTTGGGGAGTGCCGTAAGAGAGCCACCTGTCAACCTGCCTTAGTGTCTGTTCGACACCACTCATCTATTCATATCTTTCCACTGTCTCGGAGTGCTACCTCCTCGAAGTGACAGTCCCCACTAAGTCGTCTTCATCCCAACAGGGGCTATGACTCAAACGGGGTTCCATATCGCCCAATCCCTCAAAATACTCTCTAGTATCTTCAACTCTCCTCTTCTTTCCTATTTCAATTCTTCCAAGCTAGTAAACCACCATCCTCCTCTCATTGCGTGTCCAGTGGTCTATACCCTTTCTAAGAAACAGACAACAACAACACTAGGTACCACAGGTTCGCTCTTGTGTCGGAGAACACGAGCTGAGGTAACCAACCCTTGGGGAGTGCCGTAAGAGAGCCACCTGTGAACCTCCCTTGCTGTCTCTTCCACAAAATTCATGTATTCACATCTTTCGACTCTCTCGTAGTGCTACCTCGTCGTGGTGAGAGTCCCCAGTAACCCATCTTCACCCCGAAAAGGGCCTATCGCTCAAAACGGGATTCCGTGGGTGAAGCCAAAGCACTATACCAAAAACCATTGTCCAAGCCTTCTCTTTCCCGTTTCACATACGTGCCTTCCAGAGTGACGTCCCCACATTGACCGTCCAAGCCTTTTAGGATGACCAACCCTCAGTAACTCTCTGTTGCAAAGACACAAACTTCCACAACTAACAATTCTTCATTTTACAGGTATGTCTCATTCTTCTGGGAACAATGGGGCGACCCCAAAGCCTAACTACAATAAGCACTTCCCCCGTAGTTTCATGTTGAACTACGGGGAAGCGCTGTCCAACTTGAGCGACGACAAGATCCTGTGTCGCCTCTTCGATTGGAAATGTGAGTGGCTATCAAGGCCCAACATCGCAATTTCAGAAATGGCCAGTACCCTGAAGGACAACTGGTCAAACATAATGGCATATAGGGGAACGATCTTTACTGAAGACTTCGTGGACGACCTGCGCAGGTTCATTGATCCGATAACGGACGCCTTGAGACGGGTTGATAACAAAGATAAGCTGGACACGGATCCACCAGATGCCAAAGATGTCCTCCAAATACTCAAGGCCATCAACTTCGATCCCTGGGTGGAGGACCTGTTCACGGATGCATTCAACGCGGTGGGCCCAGTCTTAATGATGTCTATCCACATCTTAGTCATCAATTGTCTGATGCATAACCCTGACGCCTTCGCCGAGCGCAGCGTCCGGGCTGCAACAGCGGAAAAGTTTAAGGCCGATCCAAGTTTCAAAAACATGATGAAGTACTTGATCGACCAGATCCTCATGAGACGGAGGACGGTAAAACGCAGCACCAACGATTGGGACTCGGCCGCATACCTGGACGACGACAAAGAAGACGCCGAGCAGCACCGACCCAGCAGATCCCGGAGAACCCTCAGTCATGCCAACCCAAGAGGTAGTGAATCTGGGGCATCAACATCCAGAAGACGTCTCCCGGTCCCTCAACCTCTACAGAGAGAGGCCCCAAATCGAGAAGACCTCGAAGGTCTTTTGAAGTAAGCGGCATTGCAGCCCTACCGGCCACAGACGACGAAGACGACGACCCACAGCCCAAGGGAACACAAAGAAAGAGATCTAGGACCACCCCTTGGGAACAAGAAGAGCAGTTTTGCGAAGACGATGAACCGTTCACAACCAAACAAAAGAAGAACAAGAGGCCACTGAACGGTCCCTCGATGGCCAAAAACAGGAGACGCCCTAGCCCTCTCGAGGAAGAAGACCAATCGTCAGAGGACAGCAGACAAACAAAGAACAACAAAAGGAGACTCAACAGACAAGTCGTCAATGTCGACAATGAGGAAGACGACGAAGCGGAGCTGTTTATGACCCAGCCCACCCCACCCAAGAAAAAGCACAAGAAAAAGCGAATGAGATCAGCATCGCCTGAAGAGCCACGTGCACTAACCACTAAGTCCAAAAAAAGCAAGAAGGAGAAACAGCAACTTTCGGAGGCTGAGCAGGAAGTAGTCACTACCTCCAAAAAGCACAAGAAACGCAAGAACAAAGACAAGTACAGAGATCAAGTCGCCCAGTTTATTGCCGAGCAGGACGAGGTCCAGCGTCAGCTAGCGAACGGCAATCAAAAGTAGGCAGGACATTTTCCCCATTGCAATTGCCTCCTTTGCCGCATGCAGTACTTACTTGTCTTTCCATATTAGGCCATTTGGGCCACCACTGATGTAATGAGTAGGGCAATGTCATTAAACCTTGTTTCACATTGAAAAACATGGTGTGGACTCCATTCCTCGTATAGGCAATTTCTCCATGGCCTGATATCATAAAGGGTAAGGGCCGATACTCAGGTGCGTTCGAAGACCCATTGAGGGGACCCGTTTCGAAGAGGTTTCAAACCCCTAATGGGTTGAGAACAATTGGGGTTTCGGGAAGGAAGGGTGGTCAGGGGTGGGGAGAAACCCTTGTCATCACTATGGTCGAACAACGTGCAGGTTATTACCCCCATCGTTGCATGCCAGGTCCCTCTGCACCGGGAGTCGAGTCTCTGTAAGTTTCTACGTTTCACCAAGAGATCTCAGGTCAAACCCCTTATAAAGCATCTGTGATGTCATTACATGAACTTTCTTGAAACACACGGAAACGTCGGAGATGGCCTTGTTCCACGTTTGCCATTTATATGCGTTTTGACGTGGAACGCTGCAACTTGCAGGAACTGTATAGCGTTCGATGTTCTACAGGTTAACGCAGTTTGGGTCTGTTAACGCAAAAGCCACGTGACCTACATGGGTTTGAAAACGGCATCTCAGGATGCGAAATTCCACTATTAGGCCCAGGGGAGAAGTCCCCCCGGATTTGACCCCCCTGTTTCCAGATTTCGTACTCCAGCTAGCTTTTGGTCTGAAATGGCCANAGAAACCCTTGTCATCACTATGGTCGAACAACGTGCAGGTTATTACCCCCATCGTTGCATGCCAGGTCCCTCTGCACCGGGAGTCGAGTCTCTGTAAGTTTCTACGTTTCACCAAGAGATCTCAGGTCAAACCCCTTATAAAGCATCTGTGATGTCATTACATGAACTTTCTTGAAACACACGGAAACGTCGGAGATGGCCTTGTTCCACGTTTGCCATTTATATGCGTTTTGACGTGGAACGCTGCAACTTGCAGGAACTGTATAGCGTTCGATGTTCTACAGGTTAACGCAGTTTGGGTCTGTTAACGCAAAAGCCACGTGACCTACATGGGTTTGAAAACGGCATCTCAGGATGCGAAATTCCACTATTAGGCCCAGGGGAGAAGTCCCCCCGGATTTGACCCCCCTGTTTCCAGATTTCGTACTCCAGCTAGCTTTTGGTCTGAAATGGCCACATTCCGATTTTGGCATGAAACCGTTAAAACCGGGGGGGGGGCTACCCTCGAAAACGTGTTTTTTCCCCTGTTTCGCTCTTTTTGCGAAGTGACTTTGTTTCACTTCTATATCTTCGTTGCCTTTTAGTCGATACGCCTGAAAGTTGGCAGATTGGTTGTTGGGTAAATGCTTTACAACTGTGTGAACGGTCAAGGTCATACAGGATAACTGGGAGCAGATATCCCGCTTCAAGGGGACGGTGTTCACGACCAGTTTCGTCAACCAGCTAGAAACCTTTTGTGGCCCAATTATGCCAGCCATCCGAAGACTGGACAACAAGGATCGCTATTGTCACGATCCACCAGACAAGGACGACATCCTAGATGTTATAGAGGCGATCCACAAAGGGGAAAAGACGGAAACCCTCTTGACAGAGGCGTTTAACGCCTGCGGTCCGGTCCTGATGATGGCGATTCACATCATCGCCTTTAACTGCCTCCTACATAATCCGGAGGCACTCGATGAACAGTCAGTCAAAAACAACGCCACAGACGCGTTGCGCAGAAACCCGACAAAGCAAAATGTCAACCAGTACCTCATCGATTCCATCCTCCAGAAACGGCGGAGTACCCAGAGAAGTGACAACATATGGGAGAGATCCCTGTACAACACTGGCACAGATACCCCACCTAAGCAGAGGGAACAGCCTCGACGCCGCCGCCTGGACACTCAGGACGACGACGACTCTACTCCCAACACATCTGGCTCGTCCACCACACCCAGGAGACGTCTTTGCAGTCTACCCGACTTCGCAAGGCCCCCAACAACATCTGGAAACAGCCCGACAGCCAAACGTGTAACGCAACACACCAGAAAACCCTCGTCATTTAGCCCTGTCAGAGAACATGAGGAAAAAGAGGAGCCCACGCAGTTATACGCCCGCGCATCCCCAGAGCGGAGATCCCGCACAATCCAAAGACGAAGGGCAGCATCCCTTCTCCCGACAACGTTCCAGGACGAAGAGGACGAGCTAGAGCGACACCCTCGTCCGAAAAACAAGAGAAGCAACGGCTAAGAACAGACTGACGGGAGAGGCCAAGCAGACGAGACAGTCCGATTCCGACGACGAGGAGGACGAGCCTCCCCGTAAAACCAACTCAAACCCCAAATCAACAGCGACGAAACATCGCAATAAGCCGCCCACGGTCGTCTCCAGCGACTCGGATCTGGACGACGACCAGCTTGGGGTCACCCCCAGAACGTCACCGGAAAGCCCCTTCTACAGGGCCCACAGAAACACCAGGACTGCAGGTGAGACCAGCAAAACCACCGCGCCTTCTACCAGCACAGCCAAGAAGACAGACCGAAAGACCAAAACCAACGAAGCGTTGCGCAATCCCAAGCAGGCCGAAACAGTGGTGGAGCAACCCACCAAGAAGAAAAAGAACAGGAAAGCCCGCGGCGGCCTCGAGGACCTAGTGCAAGAGCAGGACAAGCTCTGTGTGGAACTCAACAAGAAGGCCCGCAACTGCAAGTAAACACTTTGGCCCCACTTCGGCTTCCTCTTTGCGTTTACAAACTTTCATTATCAATTGACGTCATAGAACAGTACTTTTCATAGCTTTATAAACAATATACTTGATTTCTCCTATGTGCTACATTGCGTTTCCATTGCCACATTAGTGTGCTTATCCAGTTAAGGTAGATCAGTTTAAAAGATGATACTCGCCGTTTCGTTTCAGTTCCTGGACCTCATGTACCGCCGTTTTTAGTTTCATTCCAAAGAAACAATGTAACTCTAGGCATTCGTTCATTAAACCACTTGTTCCACTTTCAAACACTGTCGTTTCCATTACTGCAGTACAATTTCCCCGGTCCCGAAGTAAAATTGGGGGGCGAAAGATTGAACTAAGAGAGAATCTGGAAAATTCTTATTCGCAATGTTAGGTTGTTAATAATAATAATAACAATCTTTTAATAGGATGCTCCATCACAAGAGTGGTTTACATAGAGGTCCTAATTACGAGATGTATATTATATAATACAATTAAAATATAAAAAGGTTAAGCTAAAATCGATATATATGAAAAAAAAATAAAAAAAAAAAAAAAAAAAAAAAAAAATTCAAGCTAAAATCCAGTTACAGAAATAATCAAAACATACACACTACAAGTACTCAATTATAAAAAGCAGAAAAAAGACACTTCTTAAAAATTGGAAAACTTGCTGAGTTTCTTACAGTTCTCTCTAATTCATTAAAGTCTTTGAAACAGTGGTACCGCGAACGTTGTTTTCCCCAATTATATTTAATTTTGGGGAGCTTGATAGTATCGTTATTGCGCGTATTGTAGGAATGTATATCACTCTTTCTTACAATGTCCAAAGAATGATTAAGTTGGCCATTAATACACTTGTATGCATATATACATCGATGACATTTCCTACGTTCTTCAAGATTCAGCCATCTCAAGACAATCAATGCATCGGTGGATGAGGAGTGAGGTGATCTATCTAATATCAACTTAGCTGCTTTGTTTTGGAGAATTTGCAATTCCTTCATAAGTGAGACATTGTCCTTGTCACCCCAGACTAAATCAGCATAATCAAAAATAGGTAGCACTAAGCTATTATAAAAAAGTAACCGGGCATCATAAGGTAAATAATACTTAATCCTACGTAGAAGACCAAGGTTTTTATTAACCTTACATGAAATATACTCAATATGGTCGGACCATGTGAAAGTTGAAGACAACATAACTCCCAAATATTTAAAACTACTTACAGAATTTATATCAGTGTCAAAAATAGATAACGTGAAAGAGGAAATACCAACAAGTTTCCTATTACTGCCTATAATCATGGATTTCGTCTTAGTAAGATTTAAAGTTAACTTATTTCCATGTAACCACTGGGCAACTTTCAAGAGATCATCATTTAGTGCCTCTTCTAACAGGTGTGGCTCTTTAGCAAAGTAGTACAGGACCGTGTCATCAGCATACAAAGTCACTTCGCAATTCTTTATAACCAGCGGAAGGTCATTAATATAAACCAAGAAGAGAAGCGGTCCTAGAATGCTCCCCTGTGGTACCCCAAAGGTCATCGGGAGAGGGTCAGACACAGCATCGCTACAGGCAGTCCGCTGTTTACGATGATTCAGGTAAGACTTGAACCACTGTAGAGTGCTGGGCGAGACATTGATAGCCGACAATTTAGATAGCAAGATCGTATGGTCAACGGTATCGAATGCCTTGGTCAGATCTAGGAACACTGCACCGCACAGTTCTCCACTCTCCATATGCAATAGGACCTCATCTGCAAAACTGGTGAGAGCCGATGTTGTAGACAGTTTGGGACGGAAGCCAAATTGTTTGCTTGAAAGGAGATTATTTGAATTCAGAAAGTCATAGAATTGGGAATGGACGACTTTTTCCAGAATTTTACTCATTGTTGGCAGAATAGAAATTGGGCGATAATTTGACGCATCTCTCCTATCTCCAGTTTTGAAAAGTGCAGCCACTTTCGAGCATTTCCATATTTCAGGAAAATTGCCAGTGCGAATAGAGAGATTCAGTAACTTGGTGATCGAGGGACAAATAGCACGCGCGCCATACTTTAAAAGTCTCGCACTGATGTTGTCCAAGCCAATAGCTTTATTTGTCTTTAGAGAAAGCAGATGCTTGAGTACTGTTTTCTCATCAACTTCGTCAAGCGAGAAAGACTGTAGCATCGTGGCCGATCTGACTGGGAACATAGCAGCAGCTGATATTTTATTTGCAAGACTTCTGCCAATGGATGAGAAATAACAGTTGAGCACGGATGCAATAGAGGCTGGGGTGGTGTGTTCAACACCATCAACTACGATACATTGTGGGCTCGAGGATTTAGTCTTGCGCGAAGACACCTCATTCACCGCCTTCCAGATCTTTCCTGAATCCCCTTTAGCCTCTAAAATCAAGTCACAATAATACTTGGATTTTGCTGCCTTGACTTCACGATTGACCCTATTTCTTAACTTTCTATAGCGAGCCCAGTGAAAAGCAGAATTGGTTTTCACGGCTTTACGATGGTGAAAATCACGATCCTTCATCACCTCACTGATTGTATCATTCAACCACGGGAGCGGAACACCTCGTATTCTTCGCCTTTTCACGGGCGCATGCAGGTCAGCTATTTCAGAAAACAAGTGATTCCAAATAAACACGGCGTCGTCGATGTCTTCCTCGTTTTCAATGATGTGCCATGGGACGTTATTCAAGTCCGCTAGGAAGGTGTTCGCATCAAAGTTTTTATAAGAGCGGTATTCAATTGTCTTCGGTGGTGCCTTAATTACACCTGCTTTTAAAACACAATAGACGAGGTAGTGATCACTCAGCGAAACAGGAACAACACCGGAGTCATTGATGCGGTGATCATTGTTCACTAAAATCACGTCAAGCAAGGATTGACAGGTTAAAGAGCCATGTTGAAGAGCCATGTTCGAAGGATCGAAAAGGAACTAGTCTATGAACGCTTGAATTGGGTGCCTTATCCCCGAAAGGGTTAGAAGATGTGGGTCCTCTTAAGCCGGGTGGTTCAGGGGCGGGGAGTTCCTTTCCAACACTATGGTCGAAAAAGGTGCAGGTTATTACCCCCCCTCATTGCATGCCAGGTCCCTCTGCACCGCGAGTCGAGTCTCCGTAAGTTTCTACGTTTCACTAAGAGATCTCAGGTCAAACCCCTTATAACACATCTGTAATGTCATATAACATGGCAACTTTTTTGAAACACGGAAACGTCTGAGATGGCCTTGTTTCACGTTTGCTATTTAGACGCGTTTTGTCGCCAAACGCTGAAACTTGCAGGAAGTGTATACCGTTCGATGTTGTACGGGTGGCAGACGTTTGGATGTCGTAACGCAAAAGGCACGTGACCTACATGGGTTTGAAAACTGCATCTCAGAATGCGAAATTGCAGTATGAGGCCTCGGGGAGAAGTCCCCCCGGATTTCACCCCCCGGTTTGCAGATTTCGTACTCCAGGTAGCTTTTGGTCTGAAATAGCCACATGCCATATTTGGGATCAAACCGTTAAAACCGGGGCGGGGCTACCCCCGAAAACGTTTTTTTTCCCTTGTTTTCGTCTTTTTCGGAGTTGGCTTTGTTTCACGTCTATATCTTTATTCCCTTTTAGTCCATACAGCTTAAAGTTGGCAGACTGGTCCTTTGGTCAATGCTTTACAACTATGTTAAGGGTCAAGGTCATAGAATGAAAGTCACGTGACTTATCGGTCTGTAAAGACGTGATCTGCGACAACGTATTTGTCCCCTCCGGATTGCCCCCCCGGTTCGGACATTTCGTACTCCAGCTAGCTGTTGCTCCCAAATGGCCACATACCAAATGTTGGTTTTAACGGTTACAACTGAGGGGAGCTACAGTACAAAATGTCTTTCCTGGTTTTTGCGCATGCGCAATGCGGAATTCGTTGTTTTCAGCTGCCGTGGGGGCCGTTGACGCTTTTCGCATATTATCGTTGCCATTACGACAGTGTTCTGGAAATCCCGACGTTTTGCAAGGTCAGTGGTTGTATTTGTGCATGTTAGCAACGTTTACGGTCGGTGAGAGCCTCCTTAAAAAACGTCATATCCCTTGTATCTTTCTCGGATTTCAACGTAGAGACTTGCAAATGTACTAACAGTATGCTAAGACGGTCACGATAGTTGTTACCGAAAATGACCAGGGTGTACTCAAAGAAAGGACACTTACCAGTAGTTTTGTCAGTGCGCATGCGCCGTAAAAATAACGTTTTCCTTAGTAGTTGCTTTAGATGACGCTTAACTGACATGTGGGAACTGTGTGGTGAATGTCTCTGGGTGTCTAACCATTTGGTCGTCTTTCTTCGTTCCATAGTTACTTGACCACAATGTCAGGACAGGTTGCATGGTATATGGAGGGTCTTAACCATTCCATCCTCGACGCAGTTGTTGCAATGGCCTTTGCAAACATGCGATACGTTCGTAATTGTGACTGGTTTCAGGTCCTGTAGCTCCGGTCCAAACCGAGGGTGGCATAGTTTTTGGAATTGGCCGAGAGCAGAGTT